TGTGTGTGTGTGTGTGTGTGTGTGTGTGTACTGGGTGCTGGTGAAGATAGATAGCCCTAGGGGAAATGCAGCAGAAACAGCACCCAGGATTGAGTCAGTGTTCGGGATTGAGCTTTCAAGCATTTATTGTTCTTGGATCTTCTGGGGTTGGCAATTTCTGTCTCCATCGATGGAGGGTAAGGATAAAAAAAAAAAAAACCTGGAAAAGAGACAACACAAGATCAAAAACCTGGCTAACACAATACCAAGAGCTATAGGGGTAGAAGCGGTTAACATAGCTATAGGAAATTAACCCAGCTATAGGAAATAAGGTCCTTAGGCCCCAATGCCTAGATCACAAAGCACTAGTCCCAAGCAGGTATGAGGCTGTCAGGTGTGAGGCCTAAACATGAAGATATGGATGATTGAAGACCATTGTGGACTCTCCCGCCCCTTTTAAAGTCTAAATAGTGACTCAAAATCAACAGCAAACAGACCACTCTACGAAGGAGTGAGCCCCTCTCCAAAAGAAGAAGACTGTATTAGTGCTGTCTCTGCCCTGGCTGGTGCAGCGCCTTTTGTCTACTTGTGACTGCAGGTGCTTCTTTTCTCCAACTCTCTGTCCTGCAGGGCAGCAGCCCTCCTACCTGCCCATGACTTTTACCATGCTGGGGCTTCTCTTTACTGATCTCCCTCAACCGAGGCAGTGCTCCTTAACTGTCTGCAACCATGCAAGCCTTTCTTTTAGCAAACCTGTCCTTTGTGGGACAGCCCTTTCTTCCCCTGCCCCTTTTTGTCTATACAACTGTCCTTTATTCCTCTTTCCCTTTTTAAATAAACATACTCTCTTGGCTATAACTAACATCTCTGTGTCATGGAGAAACTTGTCCAGGAAATTCACCACAAGCTGCTGAAAGAGGAGCTCTGGTGAAACCTTTCCCAGAGTGAACCCAAGGATCCTACTCACCAAATCTAACAACTCCAAAAATGAAATCACCACCATGCTTATCTTCCAGAATGCTGTTGTGGGCCTCTGAAGAACATGGAGAGATTTCCATCAGCCAACGTCTGAGGAGAAAGTTTGGAGGCTTTGCAGGTAGCCAAGCAGCTGAAACTGTCACCAGTTTTGCTGCTGTTACAGCCTTGCAGGGAAGGCAAACACCTAGAGCCAGACACCTTGCTGAGCTGTGTGGATGTGGGCCATTTATTGGGTCATTCAGCCACTGTAGTTGCTGTTTTGAGTGTCACTTGTCTGGTTCTGCCCTGGGACATCTCAGCAGTCCTGGTGAGCATCTCCTTTTGTGCTTTCTTTTTTGTGAGTTGGAACTCAGCCTATAGTGTGGCTGCCATGTGCACAGTGGTGGGAAGATGCCATCTTGGGAGTTTAAAACACTAGACACTGCTTTGGGGGAGGTAAACAGCCACTTATGGCCTGAGTTACTCTTTGTTTTTCCCTAGTTTGTTAAGTAAATCCCATTATTGTTGTTCTTTGACTCTGAATAGCCTTGCAGTTGTGCGGGCAGTATCAGTAAACTATTTGGGTAGTGTCCTTGGCCAGTTTTAGTGCCCCTTTCTGCCCTGTATCAAATCAAAGTAATCAAAGTTGACATAACCGGTAATGGATGAAATAGAGATTATATGCTTCCTAATAAAATGCACCGAGGGCCCTCCCTGGTGGTGCAGGGGGTTAAGCACAGCACTATGAAGCTCTCCAAAGCTGCTACAGCATGAGTTCGATCCCCAGTGACCCACATGGTGTGGCAGACATCTGACCTGCCCACTGGTCCCCTCAGTCGGCAGATCTTTCAGTAGATCTGCCTATTCTGCTCCCCACTCTGTCTCTGGTGAATCCTCTCACCCACTCCCCACCCCACGCCTCTTGCCTGTATCCCCAGTTCTGTATGCATAAATAAATAAATCTTTAAAACATAAAATAAAATGCACTGAGAATAACACACATCTCTTCTGTGGAAAGCCTGTCAAAAATGTATAACCCAAATCTTGAGAAACATGAAATAAACTCAAATTGAAGCATACTCCACATAGGAACTGTTAGTGTCATGAAAACCCAAGAAAGGATGAGGAATTGTTTCATTTTAAGAGGAGTAACAGGGCATGAGAACAAAAATGTGTGATTCTATACTGGATTGTGGGTTGAGGGAGGAGAGTAGAATTAGCATGATGGACAATTTGGGGACCCATGCTGAAATTTTTAAAGATTTATTTATTTATGCATTCAAGAACTGCGGTACAGGCCAGAGGTATGGGGTGGGGGTGGGTGAGAGGATTCACTATAGACACAGTGGGGAGTAGAACAGACAGATCTACTGAAATACACTGCTGAGGAGAGCAGCGGGCAGGTCAGGAGAGGTCTGCTGTGCCATGTGGGTCAGCTCCCTGGCTACAGATTGAACTCATGCTTCAGTGGCTGCAGTAGCTTCATAGTGCTGTGCTTTAACCCATTATGCCACCAGGGAGGGCTCCCATATTGAAATTTGAGTATGGATTGTGGGTTAGCTGTTAATACATATTCTATCAATGTTAAATTTCCTGCATGTGATCATTGTATTATAGGTATGATAAGAAAATGTTCTTGTTCTTAGGAAATATTTACTAACGTATTTAGGAATAAAAGGGCACAATGCCCCCAGCTTACTTTATGATAGTTCAGGGAAAAGGCATAGACATATATTATAAATATAATGATCTTGTTTGCTAACACCATCCACAAAAGTAAACTTGAAAGAATTAAGATTTAGATAAGAAGTCTGCAACAGGCCCCCCCCTCCCCCCGGTGGCGCAGTGGGTTAAAGCACTGCACTGAGAAGCTAAAGCCACTTCAGCATGAGTTTGATTCCCGCCTGCCCCGGAGGTGACCACATGGCGCAGCAGGCCTC